CGACGATTAGGAAAACAGCATAATTGACAAAATACGATTATTTTGCTGGGTGCGCTTTCGCCCCTCCCTAAAAGCCCACTCGGCCATGTGGGAGTGACATGTGTTGTGAGTGTTCAGCGCAAGCGAAGATGTCAGAACAAGAGCAGCAACTAGTTAAAAAGAAGGGTCGCGGGGAGATTCCCAGTCGATCGCGAGATGTGTCTAAAAATAGAACAACAATATTCTGTTTTATCGTTAATGTCCTGTAACATAATGTTCCCGTGCCAGAATAATGCACTTGAACGCATCAAAGCTTTGTGATTGGCCGGCCTCACCCCATGTGTCCGGGCGTGGCTGGTGAGCAGTGCACTAGTTCGCTGACGTTGTCCGTGTCAACAGCATGGATGGTCAACAGGAGTGACACACACAAGACCGCAATTATGGCAGAAGCAAAAAAGCCCAAAATATATAATTTTCACTCCAAGTGGGAGGATCATTATTTTTGTATCTATTCCAATTCAAAGTCCATCTGTCTCATCTGCAATGCGAGCGTGGCTTTATCGAAGAAGGGTAATTTAGGAGCGGCATTTCAAAACAGTGCACAAACGCTCCGAGACGGAATTCCCTCCTAATTCTGCCCTACGCTCCCAAAAGGGGAGGGGCCTGAGAGCACAGCTAAATGCACAGCAGTCCATTTCCACCAGGCCCAACAACAAGAGCAAGGCTGCTACCAGAGCATCTTATCGTGTCAGTCACGTTCTTGCGAAACACATGAAGTCTTTCGAAGACGGCGAAGTTATGAAAGAAGCTTTCCTGGAGGCTGCGACGCGCTTTTGTGGGACAGTAAAAATAACAGCAGCATTTCAACAGGTTTTTGATATAATAAAAACTCAATTTAGATACCGTTATTAATCTGCTGTAAGTTTTAGTTTGTTTGAATTTATTCATGATAATTATTGTACAAAATGGTATAAGAATGCAAACATTAAGATCTGTTCTGTTTAAATTGATTATAGTCTATCAGTTCAGAAACTAGTGTTGCTTGCATCCTATTTTAAAGGCATTTATTTTTATACTCTAATAAAATGCAACAAAAAATGGGTTTGATTCTATTAATGTTGTCTTTTTTATTGCACTGTTGCTGCAGCAGATTACTGTGTAGCTTCAGATCTGAGTTGTCTTATTAGTAAGCCTAATTTATACTTTTGTAGCAACACTATTTTTATATAATGGCAAAGAAAGGGTTCTTCAGAGTCTTTTCTTTTTTTCCTGTGTCATATGTGGCAGCACTGCCACAAGTTCCTCTTCAGAGAGGGTCTTCAGTACAGGTGGCAATATTGTCACCTGCCTGCGCTCATCTCTGAAACCAGACCATGTAAACAGGCTGGTATTTCTTGCAAAAAATCTTTAAGAGATGACATGAGCAGCCCTACCAGCATTTGCCATGGTGGCCTAAACATTTTTATTTGGTCTTAAATTGTAGTTCAACATTTATTTCCTGTTACTTCTGGACCATGACGGTTGGCCAGCCTTCAACGTTTAACTGAGTGGAATATGTTGAATATGTTTTTCCAAAATGTTGGCTATATGTTAAGGAGTTTTCAGTAGGTTGTGACAGTGCACTGCAACATATTTGATTTCATTTATTTTGGTCTAATTTATTTTTATTTATCATATTAATATATGTTTAGTATGGTTTTGGAAGTGCGCTCCAACAAATTTATTGATCTTGTTTATTGGTAAAATATTATTTGTTTTAAAGTTCAATAAATGGTCAATGAATAATCGTCAAAATAATCGTGATATCAATTATTGACCAAATAATCGTGATTATGATTTTTGCCATAATCGCACAGCCCTACTGGAAATGTCATTTTCGAGCCTGAGACCTGAAAAACAGGCTTGGGGTCTAACAGGTTAAATTGTAACCATTTAAGGGACAATATGGAATCTTTCTATAAAACCGCTTATCTCAATCATTTTTGGGATTTTTTTAAATGTCCGAAGCTCCAAGACTTCTTACAGGCTAGCCATGAACCAATGGGTGTAAAGCACACCCCAAGGAACAGTGCTGGATCTTGGCTCTATAGCAACAGTTACTGGATACGCAGCACCCTGGGACGTACAAAAAGGTCTTGCCATGTGGATTTATCACAAAAGCTATGGCTGTAAAATTAATCAAAACATTTTCTGGGAATAAAATACATCGAAACTCAAACCATTTTGTCTGACATACTCCCAAGCCAATTGTTTAGGTACATCTAGGGAAAACTGATGCTGTCAGTGTCTTGCACATTGGACCTGCAAAGACTACTACTTCCATGTAGCTGATACATGATACTGTTCCATTTCTGTGGAGACTGATTTTTAGAGTTGTACATTCAATTTTATGGTCCTTTTGTAGCGTTATTGAATCGGCAACTTTATGAACATTGAAAAGCCAGCACCATTCTTTTGTTATTTGTCTGTGTAATATGCTAATATGGCACAAGCAGCTAAATTAATGGGGATGGGGGGGGATTTTTCTAGGTTAAGTAGTTTTATTGGAATGAGTGTGCTGCCGTGTTTGGACAGCTCTTTCATTATGTTTTACATCAAGGTGGCAAAGTAATTAACGAAAGTATTAACAATGAAAGACCATGAGTCAGAGGCAACGTTTTAGCTAGTTCAGTTGACCATATAGCAATTAGCAACTGTGCTGGCTTAATACCTATTTTCATTAAAGACTAAGAGACATATTTTTTATCACTAAATAAACAAGGAACACTAACTCTACCTAGCCAAAATATATGTCAACATCACTTGCATTGTAAAAAAAACAATATTGGTTAGTAACATAGGCAGAAAGCCAGTATCCCTTGATACAATATTACATGTGAAAAGCCTCAGTATCCTCATATGCTTTTGAATGTGCCTCTATTTTGAGCAATGGGGTATATTAATGTTGACTACCAAGAGTTTCTTAGTTTTTCTTCTGAATCTGAGGTTTGAAATGTATCTTTTCTTGGATACCTGTAGGATTGTCCCTGAAAATAACTACATAACTATTCAGTGTGTTCACTCATTCCAAGGCCTGCACTTGATACTTTCCCTTAGACAAAAGACTGACACCAGAGCTGAGGGCTCTATCAGTCAGCAAAGCTCGAGGCTAGAGTGAGATTTTCTTGTAGGAAAACATAGCAGAAGAGACCTGGTTACAATCTGCTGCTGGCATTCGTGGTCTTTACTCTCCAGGTTCACTGAGTGTTTACAGCCAGTATTATTTGTAATAACCATTTTCAACCATCTTGCCTCATGACTGTACCGGTATGAACACATGTATTGTTAAGTAATTAAATTGATACATTTAAAGCACAGAGAGATTGTTGTTTGGTCAGCCGCAATCCTGCTCTCTGTTTTTTTTCTCCTCTGGCATACCATCAGAAGCCCTCAATCTCTCTTGTACCCATCTGACACAGTCCGATTGAATTTCACCTCTTGTCACTTTGCTCGCATGGCTTCGCCTCGGAGCCACACGCTGACACTTGCTTACACAGATGCAAACACAGCCCATGTTGAGACGTGATGGCTGAGCAGCAGGCCAGTCATGACAAGTCCTTCATGCTAGCACCTGGCTGCGTGTGTGTATGCGAGACACCTAATGCCTACACTTCTCAGACACACACATGCTGTCAGGAATACGGATGCATTCATGGATAGCTTCTCACGTACACACACACACTTGCTTCTTTTCCCCCCTGGTACAAAAGAGAGTGAGCTCAGGTAGCTGTCAGGCACTCTCCCACAGGGAACAGTGGGCAAGTCAAAAACAGCCTCCTCACCTGTCACTCCGCACACACAGGCACACACTTTTAGACACTGTGCTTCAGTGTGAGGGGAGAGACAGAATTAGATGCTTTGGGCAGATGCTGGACCAGTTGTCCAAGCTGCACACAAAGAGTTTGTGTGTGTTTGTGTGTATGTATGTGTGTCTGCCAGATTGTCTATCTGCCTATCCAGTACCGCAAAGAACACCTGCCAGCGAGCCCAAGTGGACATGCCGCCTTGCATTTAGTCTTGGCCTGGGAGCCACTGATAAGAAAAACTGTGATGTAGCCTTGTGAATGTTGGACATGTATATCCTCAGCAGTGTTCACCCCTCCAGCCAAGAGTAGTTTTTTTATAAAAATGGATTTTTATGTTCTTTCGTCCATTGATTTCCAATCAGGTTGGCTACCTGTGAGAGCTTTCCGTGTCTTTGTACGCCCCTGAGGCAAGGACATCTCACCAGCTGGATACCCAGCAGCCCTCAAAGTGGGCACAGAGCCACAGCAGCTGTAGCTGCCACAACACGGGTGAATTACTCCCTAAATTGATGTTATGTACAAACATCACGAGCACATGCGCACACAGGTACTCCCTGTTTGCTTTGCGCATTCAGCAGCCAATGACAAAGTTTACAGTGCTGTTTCTCACTTGGTCTAAGCAGAGGAATCAGTGGGAATTTCAAAGTCTTGAGAGTTGTTGTTGCTTGACTCAGAAGTGTTTGGCTCACCTTGGTTTGCCTTCTTGTTGCCGCCCATACCATTTTTTTCTGGACGGTCGATTACTGATGTTTCACTGCCTCTTCAAAAGATGGAAATGAATCGTCCAAAATACTGTGCATCACCCTGCTGGGCTTTCTGTAAATGTATTTTAAATGTTGTGGACATTTCTAATTTTCTTTTTAACATTGAAGCTTTTCTAAACCCTTCAGTAGCCTCAGCAGGCCCAATTCCACCCTGTGCCACCTTGAATCGCTGATGCATTTGTGTGGCTGACCTGTGTAGGGTTCTGCACATGACCCCAATGGCCGACTTATATCAAAATGGATCTGTACAGACATGCCATACATTTTCTTTGCGTTGAAAAGTGAACTGTGCATTGTGTAGGTTTTATGGTCAGACAGCTAAGAGCTTCTGTAACTGACCTTGAAATGAGTTCATAGCATCAGATGTTCTTGTATCAATCCTAACACCTTTTTTTTTCTTCCTGTCTGGCAGGCTGCAGAGGGATGTTGTGTGGCTTCGGCGCCGTATGTGAGCGTGACCAGACTGACCCATCCAAAGCTGACTGCGTTTGCAAGAAAGCGGACTGTCCATCGTTGGTGGCACCTGTCTGCGGCTCTGATTCGTCCACCTACTCCAATGAGTGCGAACTGGAGAAAGCCCAGTGCAACGCCCAGAGACGCATCAAGGTTCTGCGCAAGGGTCCCTGCTGTAAGTAACTCTTGATTACTAGCCATTAGACATTTTAACAGTGTATATACAGCGCCTGAAGTGTTTTGGATATCAATATGGTGCTTTTGATCCAGAAAAGCTCAAATCCAGAGAGTTCACTAAATCTATATTCTATATATATCTCAACAGAGCACAATCTGAAACGATACTGACACTCTCCATGAAACCGCTGTGAAGTGTAGGTGAATACATTGCTTAAAGCACAGTGAATGCCAATGTTAGAATAATAGACACATGACTTAGCATGTTTTGATCTCTGGGACAGAGAGCTAGCATGGTTAATTCAGCAGGCACAACGTGGCTAGTCTCTAGCCTGTTATTGTCAGGTAAATGGATTTCTATTACACCCTGTCCTTATACAACAGGCTTTGCCTTCCTATCTTTATCCCACAATAATAAAACACGTCCTCATTATGTCCAGTCTATTGTCTTTCCAATATGGCTGCGTTCCCAGTGCTTAATCGCCACCTGTGCCACTCAAAATTCCCATTGGTAGCCATCCAGGGGATTTTTTTGTTATCCCTCAGCCTCTAGTAAATGGTAAATGGTAAATGGTAAATGGACTGTACTTATATAGCGCTTTATCCAGTCTTTAAGACCCCTCAAAGCGCTTTACATACTACATGTCGTTCACCCATTCACACCCATTCATACAGAGCAGTGTATGTTAGGACATGCACTAACATGCATACACATTCGCACACCGTTGGCCATGCCATCGGGAGCAACTCAGGTATGCCATCGGGAGCAACTTAGTATGTGACTACACTTCTGCTGCACCTCTCGTTGCCTCTTTTTAGCAAAGCCCATTAGGATTCAGGGCTCTGAGGGAAGCAGCAGGCTCCTGCCAAACCCGAAACATAGCATCAGCCTCAATAATAACTATAGAGTTGTTTCAGCGTCGTGCCTGCCTGCTATTGTGGGCACAATGCTAATTCCAGGGGTCTGATTACAGTGCCGGCTTGGACCTGGCACTAATAACAAGCTGGGTGACTGCTCACCATGGGAAGGGAGGAATAAAGCGATATAAAGGACAGCGAGGGGACAGGGGGGACAGAGAGTTCTGCAGGGAAGCATCTGGAGAGGTAGGGAGGGAATAATGTCGACAGAGGAATGAGATGTGAAACATTTACTGAACAAGGGGGAGGCTGGGGCGAGAGAACAGGTGAGCAGCAGTAGAATAAATCCAGCGAGAGAGAGTAGTGTGAGTGCTGTAATGATGGTTTATGGAGGGTTAAGGCCATCAGAGGCTCCATAATTACAGCTATACACAACAGCAGGCAGGAAGAAAATAGTGTAAAACATAATAATTTGTGATACTTGTGATTATAACTACATGCTCACTACAAGAACAGAGACTTTCTCCTTTATAATGTCACATCTGGAACAAGTCCAACACAAATTGTAGGGCAGCTTGTTCATGTAACCATTCATTCTGAGTGTTTTTATAAAAAAACACAGAGCTCTTTAGTAGTATAACGTAGTTTAGTTTTTTAAGTAAAAAGTTGGATTGCAAGGTTAAAACAGCAATGAATGCATGGTTTACAAAGTAGTAGCATTAGTTATTTTGTTTTCGACCGATAACATTTAAACACAACTGCCTTTAAAGAATCCATTACATTTTTGGGGAAAGCAAATCACGGTTCTGATAAATCAACTATTTGTCACTTACGGAAATGGCCTTTCCTGAGATCTGCGCTCTCTGAGTACCCTTTTAGATTTAAGACGGTATTCATAAAGGTTAAAGTCATCCTTTTATCTGTGGATCTACTCAGATATCAGAGATGTATCCATTATTTATCTTTCAAGCAGTGATGTATGTGACCTTGAAGTCTTAGCTCTTGGGCACCAATACTTTTAATAAATGGAAATCAAGATATTACATTTTTACTTTTAAGAGACACCAGAAAGCATCCATAAATTCCCTTCATGATAGTTCTGCCCATTCTTCCAACATGCGGATGATGCTTTGTATGTTGCAATGAACAGTCACTGTAAAGAAGGAGCCACCTGTCAGTATATTTACCTTTACCTCTATTGCACAGCCTGTTGAAAGCTTCCCATACTGTATAGCGCAACGAATGATTCAGCCACAGTAAACTGTGGTTCCGGATTCTTCTGCAGACTTTTCTTTGTACATATGTGTATTTCTGGATTGATCACTGGCGAGCCGTGCCTTTTATACCTAGGCCCTCTGACCCCCCTTCCCTCGAGAAAAAAAAGAAGAGATATTACGTCACAGCGTATACTTCAGCGGAATATCAAAACAACTGCCTGGGGTGCAAAACGCATCAATGACAGCGACCCTCTACCACACAGAACAACACCATTTATATAAACACCTATCATGACAGGGCACCCACAGCCAAGTAACAATTACAAATGAATTAAGTCGGCACGGCGACCCGCATTGAAAATGACTTAGGCCTAACTTTGATGATCAAATCACTTAAACACAAAGTCCATCCTCCTGTCCTTTTGGATGAAGCACTTGCGTCATACAGCTGATCCTTTGCCACTCCAGTTTATCATTGTAACTCAATCTTGAAAATGACTCGGTTAATAATTTCGCAACGATGTCACTATCACTGAAGTGAGCCATCATGAACGAACTTATGCTAATTATAAATATATCAATCATAAATCTATCAATCATAAATCTATCGATCATAAATCTATCGTTTAGATTTATGATTCGAAAATAATAAAAGTAGGGTAGACATGTGGATATTATCCGGCTGAACAAAACGTGCATTTATCTAACAGGTTCGTTTTCCACAGACCTTATTTCGAGCTATTTTCCAAAATCCTATGGAGAAATCCCATTGCTTTCTGTCGAGGGAATACGAGCGAAGCTTACTTCCGGGTTTTAGGACGCGTCACTGCAACACTTGCATAGACCTCACAGCGGGCGGAACTTGTCATAAAGTCCGCGAAAATAAAGCCCGCCCATTTAGAGGGAAGATATGATTGGTCAATTGTACTGTCATTTGACATTACTCTCTCATTGAGTTACTATAGCTGGCCCTCTGTGAATGTACAGAGGGACCAACAAGCTCTCCCGTCTTCACATAACTCGCAGAGACGGCATTTAACCCTTCACATTCCAACAGAAACTGAACAGGCAGATTCGAAGGATTTATTTCTTTGGAAATATTATTTTAAATACAATTAAATCAAGTTATTTTGGTAAAACTAATGACAAATGTAACAAGAAAAACATATTAAAACATATATTTAAAAAAAACCTTTTTTTTTTTATGTTTTCAAATATTATTTTTTAGAATATCTTAGGCCCTTACGGAGGGCCTAGAGGGCCCTGACGGCTCGCCACTGGGATTGATGGATGTTTGCATTCATACTTTAAATACAGTTACTGTAGGTAGAGGTGAAGGTACCAGTAAGGTATAAGTACATGTCTGCCAGAGAGTGAGGGTGTTAAGAGGTCAGGGGAAGTGGATTGACAGGTTCTCATTTTCTTTCAGCCGCCAATACATTTAGCCCATCCAGAGGGTCTGGACAGGTCACCCCGGCTGAGATTATGGTGTTGTCAGGGCTGATGGAGGATGAGAGAGGCGAAGTGGGAAGTGGGGAAAAGTGTGAGGAGGAGAGAGCCAAGAGAACAAGAGAGCTTTTAAGTCTAAGAATAGTGTGGGCGGTTGGATCGGCGCTTTTGTGCGGAGCCGTTTTTGACTCATTTGATTTGAATGGTGGGTTTTCATTGGGGTAGATGAATTGACTACAGTTCTGAAAAGCCGTCATGTCTAATTCACATCTACTCAGGAGCGAAGCCACAAAATAGTTTTTTTTCTCCCAGATTAGAGGCTGCAGTCGTACAGAGCAAGTTGTTAGTATTAAGTGTGAAGCTATGTTTTTGCAAACAGGAGAGAGGAGCTCACCCTAAAGTAAAAACATACTTTTAAAGAAGAAGTAACACATTACTCCTGCAAATGATAAGTTGAATTCTCAAAGCGTTAATGGAACTCTTATTCAATAATTAATTTTGACTGCGACAGAATATCCTTACTGGCTTTAGTATGACGATTAGCTTATGGTGGCTAATGATTAGCTAGAATTTAGATCATTTTTGCTCATGTAACTTATTCTCCACTACATGCAAACAAAATCTTTACATTTGCCATTATCCTGTAATTGACACTTGTGGGCACTAACTTACACAACTACCTAGTTGTGTTACATTACCTAGTTAATTAATGATCTTTGATCATATTTAGTTTGACAGTTCTGGTTTCATACAACCTGGGTCTTGTTTCTTGTTTTGGTCATTGTACTCACCACGTTATTTGTTGATATTTGGGATAGGCTAAGTTAAGGCAGGAAGCGTGAGCTGTCACACGATAATACAGGTTTAAAACAAACCTCCAGGTCAGTCTTGCTTATTTGTAGAGAAAAGGAAGATAAACAGTCAAATTAGGAACCTGACTGCCAGTTATAAACATCCATCCCAGACGACAGACCAACTTCCTGGCAAGACTTTGTCCCACTTTAATCCCCATACTTGTTTTCCTGTGCAGTCAGGGATTTCCCCTGTCCACTTCCCCCCCTCCTGACAGATGCCCCTATATTCCCACTCTTCTGACTGCACGGCTCAATTTAGCTCAGATTGCCATTACGGTGAAAAAAATCCCCCTTTTAACACATTCATTTAGCGCTTCACTCATAACATTGAATTGGCTATTACAACGTTTAAGTGCCAGGGTAACGGTGTAAGTCCCCTCCTGAGGGCAGGACAAAACGGCCTGCTCGCCGCCGAAGCGTGGGCACTTAGTTGCCCCCAGTGCTCTGCTCTAATATCCACATAACCTCGCCCTTAATAGTTCCAACGAGCGCTGCGCCGGCTTCCTCATTATCTTCCTTTTGTTCTAGATGGATGATTTAGGATGGGCGGGGTTACGTCTCCAGCGGTCAAGCTGTGCAGGCGGTGAGCAGATAATAGCCTCTGATAATATTGAAATTAA